CTTTGTTGATTTACCGAAGGACGATTTTATTATCGTATAATTGTAAATGCTGAAATGTTGAAAAAAATATTATGGAAAGATTCAGATGCCGCTTTGACTCCTATTGTGGGTGAAGGAATTGAAGAAGCAAAAAAAAATATTTATGGTATCAAGTATGAAGATGATACAGGTGGATTCACGTCTACACACCATTTGTGGATGTGAGATAAGGATTAGTAGTCCATTCTTGCTTGAGTATTGGAGAGAAAAAGTAAACTTTACCGGAGAGAGTGAGTGATGTAAGAGGTCTGTTATAATAATAATTGTTTATTTTCACTACTTTTTCAATCTAACTCTTCTCAAGGGTAAGCGGTAAAAAATCAAATAGGGCCTTCATATGTGCATACTTTCTAGATCAATTCATACTTATTTTTATTTATTTGTTTATGTTATTTATTATACAAATAACTTATCCGAGTTAAAATTCGGAAAAAGAATTAATATCACTGACCAAGCTATTACTATTACTACCAATATTATCAATACCGGTAATTATTATTTATTCTTGGAAACTGAATATAATGATAGATTGCATGATACTATTGGCTACGTTCTATCTCTGATTCGCTCAATAATCTTTTACTCCCTCCTTCATTCATTGATTCTTTATAGTAATGGTAATAGCCGGAATTTGCCGTATATGTTGATATTTTTTGTGAATCGATGGTATCCGGATCTAAATTAACAGATTAAGATAGATTTATTAATTAAATATTAAAAATAAATGCAAAAAAACCAAAAATTTACCGCATTCTTTGAACTCGCGTGGTTTGGAAAACAACGTGACTTTCTGCGGCTTCAGGATACACCGTTTAGATATAATTCCTCTTTGGAGTAGCTCTTCTAAACAATCTTCAATTTCACACCTTGACATGATTAACCGTAGTTTTCGCTGGATATTGGACTTTTACACGAAGACGAAAAAATCTTTACATTAATTTAAGCGTGAAAATTATCCTCGCATAAATGTGTGTTCTTTACCTTATAAATGCCTGGTTTCTGTAAAATCACTCCTATCACAGCTTCGAGGCATCCGCGAAATACTGTTTCAATAATTGACCCATTAATATCGTACCACATGCGCGGTGGTGCGAAATCTTTTGGAGTTGCAGAAGGTGGTGATGATGATTGTTTCCGTTTTTTATTTTTAGATGAGGATTGTTGTGAAATATGAATCATCCAGTTTGGCGCATAGCAACTGCAAATATAACGTGCCATATTATAGCCAACTTTTTGTATCAATTTGGGCTCATTATATTCCATCATATTTAAATAGTGTCTTAGCGATGTATCAGAAATCACAAACGAGTTATTATGCAAAATTTCCTTTTCAAAGAAAAATTTAGTCAAGACGGTGCAACAAAATCATTAATGACAAAAATAATCATGCTTACTTTTAATGACAGAAGCGTGACGCCCAATTCCTTAAATTTAGAAATCACATGGAAAATCGCATTTAAGCAACTTTTACTCGTGCTATCCTTTTGCGCTGCAACAAATTCTGCAAAAAACTCTTGATTTTGTTTCTCATTGAGGAAATTAAGGTTATCATCGTCAACCGCCTCACCATTATCAGTGTCAACATGCTTGGCGCGTTTCGAATATTTTTCATGTGTCGAATCTTCAATCAATTTTCTTTTTTTGTTCGTACGAGTATCATTATTGTCCATTTGTTTCGTTCCGGATAAATTTAGATCATTGCTTTTTCCTGCTAGAGGAGTGCTTGTTTCTTGCGCGATCTCAGTAAAATTACTTTCTGATGAAGTTTTCTGACGTCCAATCGGTTTTATTATTACATTAAAATTCAACCTTTCAAGGTCTATATAAATCATTTGAGTTTAAAGTTTTAGTATTCATGTTGATTTCAGTAGCGCATATTATAAAGTATTATTTACTAGCATTCCGGCTTTTACGATTCAGGACAACAGATTCGTTAACAAAAGGTGGTAATGTTGCTTCGGATAAAGAAAGCTACTTTGTATAAGGTTTAAGAAAAGATCAATAGTACATAAGTAGCAACCTTTTTTTGGTATTTAAGAGATCGAGATATTTACCTTTTTGTGAACAATCATATCCAACAGACAAGCCATTGCCCCACTATCAGAAAAAGGTGAAAATTCGTGTTCTTCTTTGCAAGAATTACTGTAGGTAACTGCTTGGGTAAATAGTCGATCGGGCAAACCTCCGCGCATAACAGAAAGAAACCTGAGTAGTAAGGGAATTCTTAACACAATAGTATAATATTATTATTCTTAAATGACTAAAAATTTCACCTGTCAGAGACATGAAAATTCCTGCCAGGTATTCTTCTAGAATGACTTCCTTTCATCTTTACTATCGCACCCATTTGTTTATATTTTTCGAGAGCTTCTGTGACCGTTTCTTCAGGGTATCGATTAAGAATGGTAAAAGCATGCGCGGGATCATATTGATCATCAGGCGTCATAAGAATCATCTAATAATAAATTCGCATCGTAAATCGTATATCATATAATTAAATTGAAAAATTTGACTTGATTTACCTTTGCAACTGCCTCTATCAGCTCAAATTTTATCTTGGATTTTTCATAAATATTTGGATAGTCATAAGTACCCTCTTTATCATCGAGGCGACATGTGAACGAATATGAATACAATAATTTCATTCTTGCTCGAAGTGACATTCCTGAAAGTTGTTCTTCAAAGAAATAATCCTTTTCACGATTTTGAGAAGAATGTGTCACGTCAAATAACTTGTGAAATTGTTTGATATCGCGTGGCAGCGGAATTACAGTAATTGTATCTCGGATACTGAAATAAAATAAATTGTAAAATATTATAAAACAGTATCACGAAGATATCCAAAAACGTTAAAATAATTGCCTTGTGGAATTTGCCAATTCTTTCATGAAATATTCCACCTGAGAGGATAAATCAAAGTTGTGCATATCCACATCGTCTTTATCAATTATTTCTCCCTTTCGTATACCTTCTTTATAAATTATTTTCCATCTTGCCATGAGATTATTGATGAGATCTTGTTTTGCAGCATTCTTGAGCAATACATTAATACGACGACGACACATCTCGTTCGTCCTTTCAGGCAAAACTATCGTTGCAGCAGCCCAGAAAAATCTTGACTTTAGAGAACGAATTCGCAGTATGACATAAGCGTGAATTAAAATTTCATCCTCTCTCGGTGTCCAATTTGGTCGATTTCGTATCATGGCGGTCTCATATTGTGTTTGGTATCTTTCTTCTTTTGCGGAAGGGAATAAATTAATATTCAAATCTAGTGATAAAAAGGCACGTAAAATTTGTGCATGGAGAATAAAGTACCTTCATCTGGGATGATGGGTAAATTCTCTTCATCTACCACACCATACAGCATTTCCTTTTCTTTTTGCTGTGCTTTTGCCCGCTCACTTTTGCGACCCCCTCTCCTTATTCTATTTGGATTTGCTTCTGCTTTTTTCCTAAAATACGGCGCACCTTTGCCAGTAGCGACAACACCTATCGATTTGATAGCAACTTTACGACGCGATTCCTTTTCCATTCGTAAATTTTTTCGTTCCATCTTATTCTGATTTTTACTTTCGTAAGCTTCTTCGACACGTTTGAAGTACATTCTTACTCTTTGCAAGGGCAAATTAATATTATTTGAAATTTGACGACACTGTAAATCATCCTCTAAAGGAGTCTTGCCTTTTTTACGATCAACATAAGATTCAAGTGTTTTTCTTTGAGCAGCAGTTAAAGGGTAAGTTACAAGCCAATTCCGTGGATTATTAATACTACAAAGTGGATCTATTTTGTCATTTCGAGGAGATATATTTCTCCTCTTTTTGTCAACTTTATTCTTGCTGGTGTTGGGTGACATTGATGTGGATTCCATTTGACTTTCTTCGCCGCTCGAATAATTCGCTTCTTCATCACTTTGTGCCATATCATTTTTATCATTTTTACCAGAAGCTTGTTGTGCGATAAACTGTAATTCATTCCAATATCTCTTAACGTCATCCATGGTTTCAATAACATATTCTCGAAGTATTTTTCTTTCAGGTACAGCAACGGAATAATCTAGTAAAGGAACATGAATAGATAATTGATAGGCTGGATGGAGTACGTGAAATCGAGATTTTTGTGGGGAGGAAATCGATTCTGATGTCTTACTACTTTCTTCACTATAATTGTATTTGTTTGCATCGTTTGAGGAATCAAAATAGGAATTTCCTTCCTCATCAAATCCTCGGGAGATCGGCTTGAGGATATCCAAAGCAACAAGGATGTCAATTAACCTTTTAAGATTTTGCCGAAATTTATAGTTTCCCGAAAAAATGCTAGTTCGGATTTCAACCGGTAAATCTATTATATTGATGGACATATCTTTACCCGATTGAATATAATCGCTAAGTTGTTGACTAGCGATTGTTTGTCCAATAAGTTTCAGATACAAATCCAATGGGAGATCGCGAAGGAGCATTACAGTTTGAAATATTCGTTTCTCTTTGAGAATTCTTTTATCGTCTTCAGAAGCTTGTTCAATCTTGGTAAAAAGAAATTGGTGCAACAATTTGGCGCGAATCATTTTTGCATTTATCCAGCCGTAATCTTGTGCAGTGTTAAGCCACCAAAATCCATGCTCTTGATTTGTTTCATTCGGTTCGTCGTTTATTGTGATGGTGTATTGCTGTCCATCGGAAGGTTTATTACTTGATGATGGCGATGACGTCTCTTCGATAGACTCGAATAAGGATTCCATTGTTGTCACTCGTTTTTTCATTTCTTCAAACGTTTCAAGTTCGACTTCCTCCTCTATTTTGAGAGGTTTGAAGATTCCGCCATGCATAATAGTTTTATCGTCCATCGTGTGAATATATTGCTTCACTTGTGGACTGGACGGTGTCAATGATGGGTGTAGAAAGAGAAGTTTTGTATTGTTGCTGCCGTTTAACATGAGGGATGCTACGGTATATTGCCTGAGCAATCCTTTTTGCTCCATGATGGAAGCGGTTCGAATAAGTGTTTTCTTGTCGATTGTATGAGGAAGAGAAGTTGTATGGAGTTCTTTAGCTTCTACATCTTGGTATTGTTTAATTAGGATATGATTACATTCCAAAATTTTGTGCTCTTCCAAAAGTTGCGATATAATCCTTTCTCGTCGATGAGCATTGATTGACTGGACTAAATTTGAACTCTGTGTTTGCTTCTTTTTCTTTATGGCATCATCTGGGTTTGTTAAAGTTTGTATTTCTTCTTGTGAATCCTCATTTTGACTCGTTTGACTTGAAACCTCGTTTGATTCGTTTCTGTGCCTCTTTCTTGGAGGTGACTTTGAAGAATCAGAGGATTCAATGATGGGATCAGACGTGATTATTGAGGCTTGCGTTTCTTCTTGTGAATTCTCGATTGTCTCTAAAGCTTGTGGGAAAACAACATTTTTTTGACTCTTTGAACTTGATGGCTTGCTCGGCCCGTTTTTGCGAGGGCGTCCTCTCTTTTTTTTAAGTGTAGTAGTAATCTCTTTCGAAGAATCAGAAGGTTCAATCATGGGATCAGAAATTGTTATTGAGGTTTGTATTTCTTGTGAATCCTCAATTGTCTCTAGGGATGGTGAAAATGCATTATTTTGACTCTTTGGGGTTGATGATTCGCTTGACTCGTTTTTGCGCCTCTTTCTTTGTGGTAAAACGACTTTTTTCGGAAGATCAGAAAGTTCAATGTCGGGATCAGAAGTAGTTAGTGAGATTTGTGTTGGTTGTTGTGAATTCTCAGTTATCTCTGCAGAAGACGAGGATCGATCTTTGTTGTTATTTTTCACCGTTTTTCTCTTATATTTCCTGATTTTAAAATCTTGATTCTTATTTTTTTGTCCATCTTTTAACAATTTGATGTCTGCAAAGAGTGGATCGTTTATTCCTGTTTTTGTCAGATCCGCTGACGATATGGATGTGGATGATTTTTGCTGATTATTTGCCCCAGCCATACCATGATTCTTTTCGAATTTCTTAAAAGCGTCAACAGTGAAATAACGATAATGACGCTCACGTCCATGAAACTCTGCAATTCGCTTTACGCCCAAATGTAATGGCTTATCTTGAACTGGTTTTGAGAGTCGGCCAAGAATTTTATATAGGATGCGATTGTTAAGATTGCTAAGTGAACGATGAAGAGTCTGTAATAACCACGTTTTTTGAATTATATCAAGAGACGAGTCTTTAAATCAATGATGACATTTGAAATCAATAAACAGCGAATATTTACCGCGGGAATTATCCCTTTTTCTCCTGATAGTTCGATCAAACGATACACTTGATTTTCAAGTGGAAGATTTGAGAATAAACCTTTTGGTAGAGACTGAGAAGAGGACTCCGAAGATTTATTTATATCAGATGATGACGATGCTTGGACAACTTCTTTACCTGATTATTATATAAAATAAAATTTGTAATTGCTCGTACAATTACTGTATTCTCCCGGAAATAACATCACTTGACTGCCGTTTTTGGACTCCAAAATAGGTGGTGGTGCTTATTTCTAGGATATCTACCAGATTCATCAGGAAATAAGCATCACTCGATCAACATAGCAACATGAAGGTGATGCATATTCCTGAGCAGTCTAGATCAGTGCTATATAAGGAAGATTCGCTTCCCGCCCAAAACAAAACCATCACCCACAATTATTTCCACCTGGCTTGAGAAACATTATTGTTTTGTTGGATCACAATTCTCGTGTGGTGCTTGTTTATAGTGGTGCTTATTCATAATTTTTCTTCTCGGGTGGTGTTTATTTCCGGGAGAATACCGGTAATAAACTTATAAAAGACACAACCAAACCTTTTGATGATGCGTCCTTATCTTTAGACTTCTCATATAGCTTCACTAGTTTAACACATCGATCGAGTCTGTTGTTGCTTCCTTTTTGAGTGACATTCACTTTTTCTATGAAACCTTGATGATGCATAGTTCCAATTGTGCGATTAAACCAACGACGTTGTTTAACATTAGGATTATGCATTCCCTAACAAGTAAATGTAAACAAGTGAATTTTATATACCTCACTATTAATATTCTCATAAAAATTAAGTACCAATGCTTTCATTAGATCTGTAGCCAACATTATTTTATTTTTAGCTTGCGCCAGAATTTCAGTCATCCTGAGTCTTATTAGATCAGAAGTATATGACACCCCTTCGTTCAAATTTTCGATGCTTGTCTCCGTATTGTTATCTTTGCTATTATTTTTATCACCATTGTTCAGAGATTCGGGAATTGAAGTAGATTCTTTCGGAAGATAAACAGATTTTCCGGCGTATGCTTGATTATCGGGTGCACATTTCGCGAGTATACACAGATTAGTATAAGTTCCTTGTATTACTACTGGCAGTTTAACGCTACAACAAGAGTTACAAATATTAATCAGGCCAAATCTCTGCAATAAACCAAAGAGAATCATAAACGCAAATTCTTTACAATACATTAATTTAAAGTTGACCAAGGTTCTTATATAGTGAAATGCTGATCTAGGATCAATAGAAAGTTTTTTGGCGATCTCCGATTGAGTCTCTCCCTGAGCTCTCTTTCGTGCTATGAGTTGCAGGATTTCATAGACTTGTGGAGTAACCTGCCGTGATGACTTTATAGAAATACAGGGTTGAACATATATGACACCTTAGAAGCGAATTGAATAAAATGTAAGCTAATAAAACATACATCCGTTGAACCATATAAGGCATGTTTTTGGCGTTCAGGTTTAGCTATCATAACTAAAGAATTGCCATACTTCGAATTAACCTCTTGTAATGTTAAATTGTCGACTTGGATCAATTCGAGCGTTGGTGCCTTTGACTAAAGTGATAAAGAATGCTATCTCAGCATACGAAATAGCGAATCTTGAAACGAAAAGAATATTTTCATGCCTTTTTCACAGAGGCCTTTTTCTTCGAAGATACAGCTTCATTACTCGGTTCATTATCCAAAGAAATCTTTGCAAATGAGACTTCACGCGTACTAACAAATAGTTGCCAAAAGTATTCTCGGAACGCATCGTCAACATTTGGAAAGGAACTTGTATGGCTTGAAGAGTCATGAGTCTCAGACTCGGAATGTGTGGTTGAAGAAGAGTAAGAATCTTGAGTTGTATAATTCAATTTGATAAAATCTGTGACAAAACTCCATAGACGAAAGAAATTCGAGCCTGTTGAATGCAGAAGTCAAAGAGTTTTAGAACTTTGCATTTTGGTTTTTCAGTTTCCTTCTGCAAACCTTGCTCGCCGTCAAGTGCTATTTCGTCAATACAGTATTTTATCAAATCGTCAAACATTTTTTGTGTGAAAATAGGTGCATCAAAGTTTCTTTTTCGATCGAAAATGTTATTTTTTCCCGCACACGTGCATAAAATTCCAAAATTCCAAAATTCCGATTGGTCTGGTTTTAGTAAAACGCGGTTTTTGGTAATGCGCTAAATTAATTTCATAATAGCTCTCTTTACTTCTTTGATCATTAAAACATGGCTCTCCAAGGCACTAACACACAAGTTCTTTTTGTAAAGCGTCCAGTTGATTTATTCAATCCAGCAGAAACTTTTAAAATAGTGAAAACACCTGTACCAACTGTTGAAAGCTTGAAAGATGGCGAGTTTATAGTCAGGAATTATTGGTTATCTTTAGATCCCGGTATGCGGAGAATTTTGAGTTCGTCGAAATGAACAATTATTTATTTTTTTAATGTAATTAATTTATTTTCTTTAGCCATGCGCGGATGGATGAATAATGCGAGAAGGTATTTTCAATTTCAATTTCAATTATATTTATTTAATTTCTTTGCAATCATCTGCTGATTTTTCTTTGATATGAAATAATAGTTATATACGTCCATTAGGTGTGTATTATCAAATAAACGTTTTATTTTTATGAACCAGAATGATTCCTTATAAGTAAATCCTTTAAATATTTAGGAATAAATGAAGTAATGCGTGGTCAAACTGTTGGTGGTAGGCATAAAAATTATTTGATGGAGAAATTTTTAATAAAGGTTGAAAGAAACAAATATCATTTAATAAAGTGGTTGTCGCGTCAAAGAATTCGAATTTTAGAGTTGGTGATAAGGTTCAAATTTTAGGAGGTAATTATTTTCTTTTTGAAAAACTCGAGTTCTTTGTGAATTCTCAAAGATTTTATTTTAACACATGTTTTAAGGTTGGCAAGAATTTTCTGTTTCTAATGGAGCAAACGCGTGGAAACTCAAGTAAATTTAAAAAAAGAGTCCAGAAATTCATATTTTGACTCGATCTAATTGTAAGTTCAATAAATTTATAAGTATTCCGCCAGGTGCATATCTTCACGATTTCTTAGGTACGTTTTTTATTAGTATGAAAATTTGTGTCTCATATTTCGCGTAAAATCTGGTTACTGAAATTAATTTCCTTATTTAGGTATTTTTGGTGGTACTGGCATGACCGCGTACTTTGGATTACTTGACATTGGTAAGTGGCAATCTAGTTAGTAGTCTTATGCCATTTTAAATTGTAATATCAGATATTGATTTGGGAATCTTCTTTTAGGTAAACCCAAGGCCGGAGAAACAGTTGTTGTGTCAGGAGTGAGTGTACCTTCGTAATTTGTTTTTTAATATTTTATGATTTTATGCCAATTTTTTTTTTTTGATAACCAATTAAGGCAGCCGGCGCTACTGGAAGTCTTGTTGGTATGTATTCCTTTCATAGGTCCAAATGAAAACATCAAGAAAAACCAATTGATTCTATTTACACGCGGTTTATATAGGTCAAATAGCAAAGCTCAAAGGAGCACGTGTTATCGGGATCGCAGGCTCGAAAGAAAAATGCGATTGGCTTGAAAAAGAACTCGGATTCGATGTAGCCTTAAACTATCGCGACGCAGATTTTCCAAAGAAACTCGCAGACGCTACACCGAAATATATCGACGTGTATTTTGATAATGTCGGTGGCGAGATTCTGGATTTGTGTCTTAGACGTATTGCGCAAAAGGGAAGAATTGTGGTCTGTGGTGCGATTAGTCAGTATAACGAAAAAACGCCAAGTGGACCGAAGTATTACACTACATTGATCACACAACGTGCACGAATGGAAGGCTTTATTGTGTCGGTATTTTTTTTATTGTTTATATTTTTTTCACATAATTCTTTATCTAAAGGTATTTATGAAAGAACATTGTTGGACATGTAGATTCGATTATAGTCCTCGATACCCTGAAGCTGTGCTTGATCTTGCCAAATGGTTACAAGAAGGGAAGATTAAGCGAAGAGAGTTTGTGATTGAGGGATTGGAAAATGCACCAGAAGGATTAATGAAATTATTTAAAGGCGAAAATACCGGAAAGACACTGGTTAAATTGGTGAATGAGAATAAGAGTAAACTTTAATTTAAAAATTACATTTATTTATTTCAGTTCGATAGTTCGATGCTTTCATATTAGAGGATTAGCATTTAAACATCTTATGAACAACATTAAATAGCATGTAGCGGGATCATTGAATACAATGCGATAATTTAAATCATAAACTGTTCAAATAAAGCGTTAAATCGTCATCATCATCTTCTCTTTGATCACGCACAACATCCAAGATTGTTTCCGCAAAATTATAAAATATTTCGTCGTTTCGTAACGCGTTAACTAACATTCTTTCTGGATTACGACTATTCGAGAAGTTATCAACATTTATCAAAATTTCGCGAAGCTTATCGTCTTTGAGGAATTCGCGAATTTTGGTTGATTGTTCTACCGTCATATTGAGGTGTTAAGTATGATTGTATACAGAAAAGATTTTCCTTAGCAGTTCAAATAAGGCATACATGTCTAACCTAATTTTTCCAATTGTTCCGGTTTTAGGCGATCATCCTCCTCCTCCTCCTCTTCCTCAACGCTACTTTTTTCTTTGCGAGAGAACACTAACGATTTTCAATCACGGAATTAAATTTCTAAAACCCAAAAACGGTAATGACTTACAAACAGAGAAAGTGTGTTTTTATACCAGGTAATCTAAGTGGCTTTTTCTCAAATTTTTGACATGGTGTCACTTTTGTTTGATAAATTAAACAAGGCCCCAGTCAGTATCCGGTCCAATTTGAAAAACAAAAAAAAGACGCCTTTTACCTTTATGTTCATTATAGCATGTCAAAGTGCAGCTAAAAAATATAAAATCACGATGATCAGAAAGATCAAGAAATGGAACGCGTGTAAATAACATGCCAATCTCTTTTGTGAGAGAAAATTATGATATCAAATAACAAATACATGGGAATCAGGCATTTAGTGCATTTATATTTCATAGGCTGCTTTTCGCACACTCCGCAGGTACTGACCATATTCGACATAACGATAAGCGAAACGATGAGATGTGGGATGGTAGCTGCGTGGGAATCCAGATCCAAATTATCAAACACGTGTGAAAATTATTAGTCTAAAAACGTATTAACATCAAATCACTTACATTTTTTCTTTCGTTTTTAAATACTGATGTCTATTTATACTGAAAATGACGACAAGAACTTTATATTCCCGCGTTTTTGTTAGACTCTATCCTTATCAAAAAATCAAGGTTTTTTTGTTATTCCCGCAATTTTTGTTAGACTCTACTAACCCTATCAAAGAATCCGGGCTTTTTCTTTAATTTCAATTAAACTAGTAATGCCAAGATATGTTCGAATTGACCCTGAAGAGTTTACTCTTCTTCAACCAAAAGTATTCTTCCTGTCAATCATCGTCATGACGATGATTGTATTATTATTTCAAAGTAACATAGACAAAGATAGTCTTATTGAATTTTCAAAAAATAACGTAGTTGAGAATTCTTTTTGTCTCTCAAGTTTCAATGTTACAAAAACATTTGGATTTCATAATTATACGGAATATCTGCGCGGTGAACTTCCACTTATAATTGCAGTTCCACATGGTGGCCACATTCTTCCCAAAGATTTACCGGATCTTACGAATTGGTACTCCGAAGACTATATACGTTTCAATGATGTAAACACACAGGAACTTGCTCGTGTTGTGGCCCAGCAGTTAATGATCGAGTTCGGTGGTCGTGAAGTCTACATGGTAATTAATCATTTGAATCAACGTAAGGTGGACGTCAATCGACCCTACGAACAAGGTACCAAACCGAATATTGATTCTCCGATGGAATCTTCAGAATCGCAACTTGCTTGGAAAAGTTATCATGAATTTTTGAGGAATGCCGTCGATGAGGTGGAAGCACGTTTCGGGAGAGGATTAGTGATTGATTTTCATGGTACCTTTCCATTTTTAACATAATTTTTTTTTAATTCATACAAATTCGATAATCTTACGTTATCTATATTAAGGTCATGCACACCAGGAAGAATATATCGAAGTGGGATATCTTTTACCGGCAGATTTACTCGCTCTCCCGGTTCACACGCTCAACACAAATTCTTCAATTCATAACTCCTCGAGCATTCGTTCGCTATATTATCGAATGTTCGATTCACAAATCACATTCACGTCTTTAATTCGCGCCGATGTTCTATCACTAGGCGGTCGCCTACAAATGTTGGGCTATCACACAGTTCCATCTCAAGCTCATCATTATCCAACGATTAACGAAAGTTATTTGCATGATGGTGGTGGTGGTTATTCTGTTCGCACGTATGGTTCGTCAGATGGAGGAAAAGTTGACGCCGTGCAGTTAGAAATACCAAAGAAATTCCGAATTGGAATGGAAGCATCCCATCGATTTGTTGTTGATTTAGCTGATGGGATAGGCTGGTTCTTTAAAACATATTATTGGGGTCGCATAGAATGGTAATGCGTGAATCAACTATAAACGAACTATTTTGCGTTAGCAAACTATGTATATGTTATAATGCAGGCATAAAATTTGTAGATATTTTCAAAAAAAAATGTATCCTTCATGAACATTTTAAAAACAAAAATAAAATTTTCATTTCTAATTAGAAGTTGATAAATAAGACCAAATCTTTCGTAAGAAAATGATCAATAGAGACCTAATACAGTTTTTAATAACCATTTCTATTCCTTTTTTACTTCAAAAAGTTTTAGAATATCTAAGACGTCGCAATAGTTCTTCATACAATATCCATCAAAACAACCAGCAAAAAAAGCATGAACCAACACGAGCAGAATATTCTGTTACCGCATTACTAATCCTAACAGTTCTCTACCACCTTTACTACCTCTTAATCTCTGTACCCGAGAACATTTTTAGTACACTAAGAGTTCCACTAAGAACGCCCACCACTCAGCTGAAATTTTTACTTGGGACCGCGTCAAAAAGATACACGCAACCCGTAATTGACACATTATCAACGAAATTTGCCTCGCTCGAAAACCGATACTTGTACACCACTTATGGTCATGAAGCTTTTCTCGATTGTATTTATTGTCGTGATGCGACCGATTACTTTTATTACATTCTGCCAAAAATCACATTCTCATATGTCGTCATGGTGGCAATAATGGGTCTGGCGACAATGCTTCGACGAAAACAAGACTATCGAACGTACAGTGTTGTATTTCTGGTGGTTTGTGGAGCATTTGACATCTATTCATATGCAACGCTCGATCTTCGACTCTTGATTTCAAATTCCGCGATATCAGTTGATTACTATCACTACTCAACGGCCGATTTTTATCGTCGGTTAGCATTTTTGGGTGTCTCGTTCGCGATATTAATCTTGAACAGGACCGACGTGAGAACCGAAGCAGAAATTTTACTGGATCTGCAGAGATCTCAAGAATATGTGATAGCAAGATTAAAAGGCGCGACTTTGCAACGTGCAGCGATTCTGAGGGATACTGGATTACGAAAAACGTTCGTCGATTATTACAAGCGTGTGGAAGTGGAAGAGGGTGTGATTCACTCCGATCCGGAATATAAAAAGGCGAGGGCGGCTGCCTTGGCTAAATTGAACGTTGAAAATCTGACAAGGGATGCAGAGTTATATGTTGAAAATTTAACGAAGGTCAGGGAAAGTGAAGGAATATCGACGCATAGAGAGCGGAATGATATGTACAGAGCTGTCGCAACAAATTCAACATTAGTGGGTGGAGGCGCTCTCAGCAATGAAAACGATATTGGCGGCTTATAATTTACTATTTAACTATATTCATATTAGCTATAGAAATTTCCGAAATTTCATCTTCAAGAAATGATATATCGTAAAGTACAAGATATTATTATATTAAAAATTCCTTTATTCACTCTGAAAATAACGACTATCATTTTATTAGAACTAATTATAATAGTGGATCTATCGCCATCTCAGACTCATAGGATTTTCTTCCAAATAAGTTCCTACACTTTTCGAGCGCTTTTTCATATCGCTCATCCAATGGCTCATCAGACAATTCGGGAAGAAATTCGATGAAGTCAAAATCATTATCATGTTGATATTTTTGAATCTCCAACGTATCCGGTTCTGTATAACTAGCAATAAGGTTCTCAATAGCCTTCATTTCTTCGTCATTCAAATCCTGGCCTTTTTGCTCAGTAAAATTGAGCCAATCGTCCCGAACCTTATCAAACATCCTGTCATCATTGAGATAATCTGGACCCAAGAGTCGAATAAAACGTTTTAATAAAAGGAGTGCATTTTT